GGGTCAAGGAATTGATAAACTGATAATTTTAGCATAAGAAATTTCCAACAACCAAAATAGAATGCATATTTTAAATTTTATTAAAGTCAAATAAGAATGCCTTGAAAATTTAATAAATAGGATAGATATTAATTTTTCAAATATTACCTTTTTTTATAATAATCAATCTATATCTTTTAAAAATATATGTGATAATTTTATGGTGTTTTAAGCAAATTTTTAAAATTTAAATAATTTATTATATAGGTTTTTTTTTGAAAAAATTTGTGAGACCCGATTAAGCCATAATGGTATTTCAATATGTAAAGAATACCTTACTCGTGAATATCGAACTCTAGATATGAAATTTTGAACTACTTTTGATTTATATTGGATTTTTCACATACATTATGAAAAAATAAATTTATGATGAAAATTGTCAGAAATATCAAAAAAAAAGGAAATCTAAATTAGAAAATGCCAACATAAATTTGAAAAATTATAAAGGTAGAAGATACAAAACTAGTGCTGTAAACATTTCTAAAAAAATCGAACACGTTCGCGTTCAAGGTTCATTGACAAAAATCGAACACGTTCACTTTCAAAAAAAAAAGGAACGCGGTCACGTTCGTTCAAAATTTTATGATAAATATTTTTTAAATTTAATTTACAATGTCTTATATTATATGTTTTAACACAATATATTAGTCATGTTGAAAAATAATATCGTTTAATTTTGATAAGATAATTAATTAATTATAATATAATATAGCGAATAAAAATATATTTTTATTTATAAAAATTTTCTTATTAATTTTTAATAATAATTGTTATTTTAAATTTCCATTTAATTGACAGGAACGTTTGGCAGTTAATATGGCCTTGAATACTGGTACATCCAGTTTGGATGTATAATTGCAGAAAGAGCATATTGATCTTTATATCATATATATATGTGTTCCAATCTTCAAAAAAATAAAAATATATGTAATTAATTTGATAGTGATAAGTTTACCTTTTGTAAATCCCATTTAATACAGCGTCTATCAATTTTAAAATAACTAACGTTATTGTTGGGGTCAAATAGCCCAAATGCATTTTTTCTTCAAATTTAATGATTTTACTTAGTTATATTATGTAAAATAAAAATATTAATATTACAATCAAATGTTGTTTAAAATTGGAACTTGAAGATTTTGAAACTGATAGGGGAGACCGGGGATAGTGTGTTCCCGGGGTAGGTATTTACTTCTCGAATAATTTAAAAATGAATAAAGTTTAAGTTTTAAAATTTAAGCCAAATATGTATTTTAATAAGATGCTTAAGTAGGTTCAAAAATGTTTCTGCTCATGAACAATTTTAAATGCAAATTTAAATTTCAACATACCCAAGGTACCTTTTTAAAATTTTACATTTTCATTAATAACTTTTTTTTTATAAACGTTGTTTGGACTTAATATTAATTCTAAATGATAAAGAAATATATATTTTATAATATATATAAATATTGACACAATTTATGGTAATTTAATATCATAAAATTACATTTAATTAATTTTGAAGACCTGGGGCAGGTTTTGGCGGAGTATCATATATAAAAATATTGACAATATTTATGATAATTTAATTTTAATTAATTATGAAGATCTGGGACCGTTTTGGCAAGGTACATATTAGCCATTTTTAAGCAGTTTGAATAAAAAAATCTTTATACTTACATTAAAAACCACTAGTTTGTCTAGGACCATTAGTGACAATATGAAGATGATTGACTTATTTTTTGTAATTATATGACATATTTAAGTGACAACAAGTTCTTCCAGGTGATATATGTTATATAGATTAACCCTATTAAATTTAACATATTTGACAATTTATTTTTATTTATTTACTTAGAATCAACAGTTTTATATAAAAAATTTTAAAAATCTAAAAATAAAGAAGCGCTATGACACGTAACGTGAAGGGATAATAGCTACCCCAGGTGTTTTTCATAAAATTTAAATTTTCATTTTTTTTAAATTTTTTTAAAAACTAAAAGATTTTATTCTTAAATATTAATTCCTACCGTAGAGATATATGTAAAGACTAAAATTATGTGTAAACATTTTAGAAAAATTGCTTTGTCTATTTTTTATAACACTTCAATTTTTTATAAACAATATAACACTGGTCTCCCCTAATACTTCTTTGGCACAATATTTGGTAAGTATATTAGTTCCTTTGATATAGGATGTTACTGTAAAATATTTATCATATTTGGGCCACGGTTATGTTAATGCATCTAATTTTGAATTTCCAGAATCAGTTAGTGATGATGAAATAATAATATGCATGCTTAAGCTAATCTATTAAATTAAAATATAAACTATAATAATGGCTTGTTAAAAAAAACTGAAATGTGAAAAAAGAAAAACAGTTGATTATTAAATATAAGACTTTTTTCTTAAAAAATTCGAATTAATATTAAACTTTTCAAAAAAATAAAAAGTGTTTTTAAAATGGAAAATGCGCTCGTCATAAAAAAGTAACGCGTTCACATTCAGAGTTCGTCAAAAATAAAAGGAACGCCGTCCATTATTTTATTTCAAAAGTATCAAACTTTGTTCACCAACGCGTTCAAAATGAACCCGTCTTATAACACTATCCAAAACAATTGAAAAATGAGAAGAAATTAAACTATGCATTCATGTAAAATAAACCGATAACAATGAATTTCTAACATAAAGTTTATCTAGAAAATTGGAAAAATCCATTTAAAATTTTACAAGCATAAAGGTTCAAAAAATTAGAAATAAGAATTATAATAAAGTCCTCATTTATATGCATTTATATTATCTTAAAATTTTAAAAATTAAATTAGATTTATCGAATAAGTTTAAAATTAGGCTCAAAAAGGATTAAAATTTTTAAAGTATTTGTTAATATTTTCTAAATCTTGCGAGACAAACCCATTTCCATATATATTTTTAGAATACCCAATTCAATATGTTTACCCGCACCATTTTCCGGTAAATTAAGAAAACAATAGGGGTTATGTTTTTTCATTATAACGCTTTTTTTTTTTAACTTTTGCAAAATTAATATTTTTTATAGAATAGTTTTATTGACTGCCTATTTTCTAGATCAGTTTTTACATGAAGAAACCTGTTTACATGTCTAATTGTTAGTCTTGCAAATTTCCTAGAATGCCTAGTCTATTTTTCTTAAAATTAGCATTTTTCTAGAATCAGCCTTTATTTAACAAACCCAAGCCATTTTCTTAGATTTCGAGCGATATCTTATTAACCCTGAATTCACAGTTAACGCGAATTCTCGAGGAATTATATAAAATTCAGCGGTATAAATTATATAATTTTTGACAGATAGTAGCCATTTTCTAGATCAGTTTTCCATGAACCATTCTAATATTTATTTCCAATATGGCGCAAACATATGAGTATAAAGGTAGTATTATTTTTTTTAAATGTTTTAAGATTTTAGGCAATTTACCTATATAATTTTGTGCCATAAATTTATAGGACGGATTTATATTGACTAATTTATTTCCATTTTTAATTGTTATATTTAAGAGAATTCAAACGAATAATTGGCTTAGTTTTTTTCAAATATAATATCTGACCTTTTACCTGCGTTAATTTTTTTTATTAAAAATGAATCTCTGCTTTAAAATGGCGAATACGAACCCCATCAATACTTGCTTCAGACCTTCACATTTAGCTAAATAAATTCTGGATATTAAATTAGCATAAATATTCTCAATATTTATTATATACCTAAATAAAATTGAGATATTTTTATAATTGATATTTAATCTTGAGTATAATTATGCGAGACATATTTAAAACCATTTGAGCATATTATTAAAATATTTAGAGTTTATTCCAAATATCAAAGCATATATTAGTCTTAAAATTATTTGATAAGGAAATACCTGACCCGAGATAACAATAACCACGGTCTCCCCCCTAGGGTATAACTTTTCGGCATTTTAACTGTATACTTGTGAATTTTCAAATCAACTTGTGTCACAAAAATTTTACCACAGATTTTATATGGTTCATGGAACAAATTTTCTAACAACAAGAAGTATCTTTGAAACATTGAAAGTCTTAAAAGACTATCGTGTTGTTCACTTTATTTAGTTGCTCTCTCTATTTATGACAATTAATTATACATTAAAAATAACAAATTAAAACATCATTTAAAAAAATTTATAATATAAATTTTAAATGATTTACACCAGATCAATTAACGACTTCAAATCTATTTGTGTAATGATGACGATTGTGATTTTTTATTAAAATTAATACACCAAATAATAAAATTAATCCCTTTAAAAAAGAAAAACTCGTAATTTTTTTAAAAAATTTTGCCTTCCATTTTTGAAATTTATTATATATAATTTGTATCGTTTGTTCCATCATTTTATGGCGAAAATATTTTATTTGTATTATGCTAATGTACTTATAATACATTGTTATAATTTTACTTTTTAGAAGTAGACAACAAAGAATATATATTTTTTTCTTATTTTTCCAATATGATACACGTAAAATGAGGAACACATAAAACTCTATGCTGTTTAGCTTTAGCATATATAATATATATAATAATATACTTTGCATTTTTTTATTCTTACAAAGTTATACCATATATTAAGTTTCATGATAACCAGATCCATATTAAATCATGTCCATAAAGTTAAATCGACTCGACCATGCTTGAATATACTGTATTAGTCGTTCATTTTGAAAGTAAGGTTGTCCAATGTAACTATTATAATAGAAACTTATATTTAAGAATAAATGCTAAGAAATTACCCTCCCCCTCTCCAAACTAGATTATTATTGAAATTCTAGGTAACACTTTACATTGTTGGAATCACAAAACATTTACATGATTCAGGTCAATTTTAAATGTTAATTTTGAATTGTAAGAAGGGAAGGAGGTAAAGAAGAAAGCATCTTCTGGCCATAAGTGACCTTAACCTTAATTTTAAAAAAAATATTTCCATAAGGAACCAACGGTCAATCCAGGAGACGCGGCCGCCAAACCTATTCCAGGTTTCAGACACTCGAATTAGAGAAAGAATTTCGTTACAATCACTATTTAACGCGTCGCCGGAGACTCGAGATATCCCATACCCTGTGCTTAACGGAGAGGCAAATAAAAATTTGGTTCCAAAACAGGCGCATGAAACTAAAAAAGGAAACCCAGGCCGTCAAGTTGATCAACAAATCCATCGGGAAAGATGGTCTAGATTCGTCGAATGAGAATGATGTCGGTGGTTTGATAAGCAATGATAATTATTCAGACAGTGAAAGAGTGGAAGACATAGACCCTTACGAAAGCCACGTTGAGGAAGAATATGAAATATATTGATTAGAATTTTGGGATAAAGAGGGGTGTGCAATATACATGGATTCTCTAATCAAGTTATAGAATATAATATGTCGCGTTCCAGTATTATAAGGTTTTTATCTTATTAGATACTAATATATCTCCATTATTTATTTTTTAAAAAACATGAAGCATTATCAAATCGCCCAAAAATATATAACACGGTGACTAATTAATTTTTGTCATTAAATTTTTAATTAATTTGGTTCCCTTGAATGAGATTCTTAATGATCACTGTTGCAATTCCAAAAATTGAAACCATAAATATTTCCAAGTATTTTCTTATTATTTTTTTATACATATTTTAAGCGGCAATAAATTATAAATAATAAAAAAGTAAGAACCTATATGTGATAATTGTATAATTATATTTATTTTCTAAAGAATTATAATACTTTATATAAAACATTTTCCCTTTATTCTCCCGGTTATCTAAACTTCTGTAAAATAATGTATATTATATTTTCTAAACTTTTTTAAAAAAAATAGTAATATATATACGCATTTTGCTAAGTTATTTGATAAAGCTACTAGAAGTTCCTTTCGATATTTATACTAAATATTCTAATAACATTTAGTAATTTATTTCCCTAAATTAATTATTATACATTATAATATGCATATTATAGGTCATTTTAACTATTTTTGATTGTATTACTATTGTGAGTAAGGCTTCTAGATATTATAACATCAAAAAATACCTTATAGTATAACCCCATATTATAACAATGCATCAGTCGTTAAGTATTTTATTTATTAAAAATAACATCATTTTGTATTCTAAGAATATATTTTTTTATTAAACCTTCTCAGAGCATTATGGAAAAGGGAGAGGGGGATCAGATGATTATCATTAACCATAAAAAAATGTAGGCACATATGTTGAAATCAAAATCCACATCACGTGTCTAGTTCACTTGCTATAATACATCAATCGTAATGCTAAATTCGCCTGTACTTTTCCTATTTAATATATTACTCTTTTTTTTGTATACGTATAAAAATTTGATATTTTTATTAAATATTAAAATTGTTAACTACTTCCTTTAGGTACATTATTTATTACTAATTGTTTTTCAATATCAATTCCGTGCTAAAAAAAATAGGCTGTTGATATTTATGAAGATGTTACACATTCCTCAACCGTGTAAAGGCGGATAATAAATACTTCTCTGCGAATTTTTTAAAACAAAAAAAAATAACCTGTTATAATATATTTTATCTGCCAAAAATCAGATTATTGTAAATTTGACATATTATATTATAATATAATAATTTATTTTATCATTAAATATTTTTTATATCTATGATTATTTCTTTTATAATTTTTTCTAAAAAATTGGCCATTCATTTGTAAGGTCACCTTTTGCGAGGAGTAAGTGACGATTGTGATTTCCGCCTCCCATCGCTTTCTTAAAGATAACTAACGATATATATATATACATTACTAGATTGACGATTTATTCATTAAATGAATTTGCTGCAGCGCCGTTTTGTGGTTTGCACGCCGATTAAATGACATTAATGCGCATTCATATAATAATGAATAAGGCAAAGACGACGTGTAATCCACAAAATGGCGCTACAACTGACTCCTTATATGTACACTTTTAAATATTGAATCTCTAAACGAGTATATAATATATATATATTAAATACATCAAAAAGACCAATTTTTGAATGAAAAAATATAAAACACCTATATCGTAATATAAAAATAAACCCCCATCTATAATATAATGTAATCTTCCGATATAATTTTTTCTTTTTCCAAAAATTGCAGGGATGATATATATTTGCCGTTATAAAAATTTAAGTTATTGACCTATTTTTTATATAAATATAATGAACGTTTTGGTAACTTTTGTACATTTATTTATTCTGTTTTTTTTTAAATCTAAATTATTATACTATATTTACTATAATATAAACTAAATATCTAACCCATATGCCGCGACAATTCGTTATTTTTGTAAAGAAAAATTATATATGAATACACAATATTATACAATACATTATTTTTAAACGTTAATATGTTTTTTTGAATAAAATATATTTTATATTAAAGATTATGGGTAAAGGTGGGGAGTATACATGCAGATCTTAAGTTATAAAATTGCCCAGTTACACTTAATTTTAACAAAGGTTATGAAATTAATAAAATAGTCTGATCAAATAATTTTAGGACTTTCATAATAAGATTCAATTATTTTTTTAACATTTTATTTTTAAAAGATATTTTATTTTGTTAAAGTAACCAATTATTTTTTTTGCGAAAATATAACTAACATCTTATTTTTTTAAAAAAATGCAACTGTTAACTAATTATATATTTGGAATGTACCGATAAAAGTAACACTTTTGTTTATTATCATTCATTATCTTTCTATAATTATTTCCCAGGTTTAAAATTACAATTGATTAAAAATTGTGTCTTATTTACATCAAGCGCTCCTGTAGAAAAGTTTAGGAAAGCTTATATATCTTTCATAAAAGACCTAATTAATTTTTACTTAATTTTATTAACAATAATTTATACTCAAAAGGCATGCTAGTTGCTCTCCAATTTACAGGATCCTTTTTATAAATGTAATTTGTAACTAGATACGTTTTAAGAATTTAACTTGTAACTGTGACTTTTGACAACAAACCTAATAAATCCAACGATTCTATAGTAAAATCTTATGTTTATAGTGTTCTTCGAATAATTGAAAGTAGAGTTACTATTTTCTAAATTAGTAGCGAGCTATCAATATCTCTATTTTTGTAAAATAAAAACTGCTGGGTTCTATTTAATGACTGGAAAATATGATTGTTGAAATAGTAAGTATAGTAATTAGTCATTAGATATTGGTGCACTTAGATATTCGGTGCTTCCATAATTTTTGTTCTGGCATGATGCCAATGCAATATTACGCTTTTAAACTTTCTTATCTACCAAACGTATTGAAGCTCTAAATATACTGAAAATTAATTACTGATATAAGTTTCAGAGTTGATGCTTTTAGAAGTTTGGCTACCTTCACAATTAAGGCATGATATCATAGTTTTTATTTGGCTCATAATTCGATTACTTTTTTGTGGTTGGCGTGATTGATGGACGAATTAATATGTAAGGCCAACTAAATTTTAACGTGAACCGGATATTTAGAATTTCCATACTCTCAGCTCTGGCATGATTATAATCGTGGCCATTTTTTCTTATATTACCAATAATCTTTCCCTCTATAAACCATCTACCCAATAGATTAAAATAAACTAATTAAGCACTACTTAATGGTTTGGAATAATATAAATGAATTAGTATTTAGTAGTGATGCAAAGTAAGGACGATAAAAGTAACGTCGTTACTAACGGCGTTATCTTTTTTGAGGAAAAGGAACTTCTTTTGTTTCCAAAGGAAAAGAGTAATGCGTTTTATAACACAAAACGTTACCCGTTATTATAAAAAATTTTCTTAAAAAATTAAGAAAAAAATGTATTATTTAAATTTTATAAAACTTTAAGCCGAGATTTTAATTCAGATCAATAACCAGAGTTCTTCATTTTTATTTTATTTATTCTTAATTTATATTCTCCATTATGATTTATTTTATACGGGATATTGTTAATTCATCCACTGTATCGTGCTTAGCACTGCGAAACCTGTTTTGAGCAATAACAGCAATTGTTAATTTGATCAAAATTTGAAAATCAATTGTTAAATATAAATAAGAAAAAATAGATCTTATCTTTATATTATTTTTGTATAATTTTATTTTTATTACTTATAGGAATAAATAAACAAATAGAAAATTTCTATATAATACTTAATATTTTCTTAAGTAACGAATAAAGGGTTATTTTTTATAAATAGCGAGTAACGCGTTGTTTCTTTCTTTATAAGGTAACGGTAACGCTTTCCTTTTCTCAAATGTAACGAGTAACTACATTTTTCTTTTTAGAATAACGTTTACAGCACAGGTATAGTATTTTGTTCCCAGCTTACTTCATGCTTAAAGCATGACAATAGAGTTTTCATATTGTTTAAAACTCATGTGGTTCGCAAAACTGATTGAGAAATTCATCAATACTATTTATGCATTAAATATTAATGCAAAGCAGATATTTAATACATCTATATTTTTCATCTGGCATGATGCCAATTTTGTCAATTTTCTCTTATTTTTTTCTACATACAGTCTAGATTAAGTACTAAATATTGATAAAATTTTTGGAATAAATTCTTTCAGTGGCTCTTTAGTTGAAAGATTGGTTAGAATATTATTGCTAATAATTTTTTCCTTTATACTGGCTATTATATTGGGTAGAACACTCTAGGCCTTAATAAGCTTAAACATACAATTATTCAGTCAACTTTATCGGAGATGATAAAAAGATATTACATATTTTAAAAAATCAAATAAAAAATGACCATATGAAATAAAAATATGTAATCAGAATTTTTTATAGATGGGACCCTGCCTTAGGCTGGGTAAGTAGAAGTTTAGGAGCGAAGCTTCTCCAAAAATTAATGCCCCCCCCCCTTATATAAATTTACCTACGCTATTGGTTCTATTTCAAGAATACACGTAGGCCTTTTAATTATTAATATTTTAATTTAATAGTAATTTTTTGGTATATTTCGATAAATAACGAGCTTTCTTGCTGAAGGATTAATTTCGCATAGGAAAACTACATTTCAGTTAATTAAAATAATAAAATCTGCTTATATTCTAATGAATTTAAAATTCCATTGATTGTTCATCTATTTCCTAAATATTTTCATGTCGCAATCTTCCAACCCGAACCAAACGCTTACTAAAGAAACGAACCATTATAGACCATTCGAAATAAAGACCTTTTTTTCTTTCATATAAGTGAAGACTTTGCTTTTGAATTATTTTTGATAATCGGATAAACCGATCAATGACATTCACACTTCTTCCTTTTTTTTCAGCGATGAATAATGATTCATCGTTAAAAATAATCGTTGAAAATTACCATAAACGATTGTAATACATCTAGATTTTATGCTATTTTGCCCATATTAGTCGGCTTTGTGTTGTTAAACTGCTCGATTTTAAAAAAAGACTAGCCCAATATTTAGCCAAAGAAATGTTATGCAATAGATGGTAATAAGGTTTAGATACTATTACTGAAATCTCGAGGCTTGCGTTATATTATTTTGACTTGGCAAAATCGAGCCATAAAACAACACTAAGTCTGCTTTTAATTTGATAGTACACATGCTTTTTTGTGGCTTAAGGAATTAAAAATAAGTCTCTGATAAATATTATTATGTAATTTAATAGGACAAAGATTGCATTGCAATGTAATCTTTTCTGCAAGCGTTTATTGAAATTGTATATCAAGAATTCGAATTAGATGTGAATGTTAACAGTTTAGTTGTCGTTTGTTCTCGAATAGTTATGGTATATTTTATTTTACTACTTTGTTTTTAGAAGCGGAAATTCGGCTTTCCCAATTAACTAACAGATCAATAATTCTATAAACATTACTGAGCACCAAAAGTAGGTGACAGGTTTGCCATAATGAATTAACGATCTCCTTCAAACGGTTAGCAGCACGTATGACGTAGATAAGCCACTCTCAGTTTTGACCCCCCTTTCCCCCACGGTACAACACATTCATTCTCTTCTTCTAAAGAGGACCGAGCAAGCTTTAACACTCACAGAGACAAAATGCATCAAAACCAGTTTCTAGGGTGAGGCCACTCCAGTGGCATATACAGGAATTTCCTATAGGGGAAATTTTTTTGGGGGGGGCTCGACCCCCAAACTCTCTAGCTGGTCCTTAGCCAGCTTTTTCGCGGTCTTTGGCCGGGTCATATCTTTGAGCTATTCGATTGTATTAAATTATTCATAATTCAATATAAATTATATAAATATTTTTAGCTTTTATTTATTAATTCACACTTATGGATATTTAAAGAAGAAGTAAAGGTTATAGCTTAATTTTTTATTATAATTTTTTACTATTTATGTTACAAATTTTTTCTTTAAATGTAAAATTGAAATAAAGTTAGGTGACATTATATTTTTAAATTCACTTTAAAAACTAGTCTCCGCTTAAATTCTCATACAATATAAGTAGAATAAAATTTTTATTGAAAATACTAATTATAGTGTGTGTAAAATATTGACTAGAAAATAATTAAAAAACAAGTTTTTGTAACTTCATATCAAATATAAAATTATACAAAATATTTATTAAATACCATAATTATAATGTGATTTTTAATTTTCATGAGAAATTTGCCAATTCATCAAAAATTTCGTTAGACGTTGGAACCAAATCTCTATGGATATTCAACAGAGCTAATCCATTTAGCCGAGATTCGGAAGTAATATTTTGTAAATAAGTTTTCAACCTTATCAAGTTTGAACCTTTCATTCTTACATGTTGTAATAGGCAAACATGCAAGAATATAAAACAACTTCAA